GCTTTTTGAAGCCATCAAGATCCAATAACAACGAAATTGTTTGTTCCTGATCTTGGTGACCTTACTTAATCACATCCGCTTCGACATTATTTTCCTTGCTTTCGTTCTTGATTTTGGTTTTTCATTTGTCTAAACTGAACGACGATCGTCTACATGGTGTATGAGACACGTTCTACTACGGTTCCGGTTCGCGCCAAGTGATTTCTTCCTTGTTTTGGGGTAAGGCGGCACAGCATTGAGGCGGTTTCACGGAGCCTGGGAAGACTGAATTTATCCTTTTGTTTATATATATACTGGGATTGACAGCATTGGCATGCATGTATCTTTTTCGTTTAGCTGTTTCATCTTTGAGCTGCATTGGGAGCGAGCGTGGTGCAGGGAAAGCTGACTGGTGACGACAGTCGGGGTTTTGAGGATGTCAAGACGTAGGATAAGGTTCTTATTATCATGGAGAGCTTGGGAATATCTCTAATTCTTGTGCGCATGCAATCCACGGTTATGGATACATGGGCCGTGGATGTCCGAATATGCATTATCTTGAAATATACAACTTCATTATGACTTCGTGTTACATAGTTGTTCATATATGCTTATCGAGCTGCAGGAAGTCTATTGCTTTTGCTTTCTCGACGTGGATCGTCTAAAATGAAAACCCCCTCCTCGATCGCCCCCATTCCAGCCACTCTTGACCCCGTCCCCGGTTCTCGTGGTTTTTTACATCATTCCCTCGCCCGGCCATAGACAGCGTGATACCTGGGCCTGGAAAGTTCGTTTGCTCAAACAGTGAATCAACTCGTTTAGTAAAAGCTGAAAAGGCGAGGCAAACCAAGAGCTATTCCTACAGTGACGGTGGTACCGCGAAAACGATAACGAGGCAAGATAGCCAAATAAACATAATGTAGAGAGTAAAAAGAAAGCTACTATGTCGTATCTTGAGCTACGAAATGATGAAACAGCGAAGATGGAGGGACGACGAGTCTATCGCTTTGGCAGAACAACGGATGTGTAGATGCGACAAAGTGAGAAAGCAAAAAAGATGGAGATTTCATCACATCGTTCAGCAAACTTGTAGCCCGCAAATAAGTCCGGCGGGGACCGAATAGAATAAGATTAATCTTCATCAAAAATGTCATATGTGTTCTGGAGGATGGTGTCGACGACCTTGATCTGCCAGCCAGCATCGGCGATAGCATTGCTGGGATCAGTACCCATGATGGTGGGACCGAAGATGACAGCGAGGTTGTGTGAGTTCATCCGGTTAACGTGCGCATTGTCCATGACGCGGTACAGGTGCAGGGAGAGTGCGCGCAGTGTGGCGTAGTTGGGGTCGGGGAGGCTATTGATAATGGCGTGCATGGAGTCGCGACGAGCAACATCGTCATCATGTTCTGTGATTAGTTGAGTCAGTCAAACACCCCCTTTTCTAAGCTGCTGATCGAAAGCGACTTACTGGCAGCTGCAACAAAGCTATCGTGATGTTCCGAAGTCAAAAGGGGATCGGGAAGATCACGTAGGAACTGCTTCAACAGTCCAGTGACACTGTTGACGTCGTGATAGAAGTTTTCGGGATTTCTGAAATCAAGAGCCGGGTTTTGAGAGTCTACCAAGCCATAATTAGTTCCCGCCGTGGTGTTTGTTTCGATGCTCCTGGGGAGTTATAGTATATACCTGTATCAAACATGTGCTTCAGCTTTTGAACATGAACCAAGGACCCAGACTGCCTGTAAATGCCTTCAACCCCAAGTCCATACATGTCAGCAGCCTGGATGCACTGATGAACAACCAAAGGTACGGCCAAGCCGTCACGCTCATATAAGCGGCTGAGATGCACACCAAAGACTGGCTTCGGGGGCGCAGATGTGGTTTGGATAGGGCCTGGAGACGCCGACTTTAAACCAGCTGATGTGTGGCTGCCCTGCCTCTCGTGTTGTCCGGCAGCGGCCTGATTAGCCTGGAATGGAAGAGCACCTAACTGGGGTGGCCCAACGGGACTACCAGGCGTATATGCTGGAGGGGGGTGACCACTTGAAGTCTGAACGCCGCTGTTGCTGCCATACTCGGTTTGACTGAAGTTCCGGTTGTGAGAGGGAGGGAAAGACGGCGGGTTCGGAGGCCCTGTTGGTGTGAAGCTTGTCGGGGTCTTACCCAGTGAGGCTGGGTGACCGATTGGGGGGTTGATTGGGTTCAAACCAGTGTTGGTTTTTGAAGGAGGCCCCGACGGTGGGAGCGGACCAGCAGAGGATTGGGGAGGATGGGATTGGAGGGGCGCTTTAGTATTGATTGAACCCTGGTTAGACGGTTCTCTAGCATGCGAAGGCCCTGGGCCAAGGACCTAAATGGGAGTTAGCAAGTCTCCATGGACTTCAAGCGATGCAGCTTATATGCTTACGGGATTTCGCTCGTATTTCACATCGCCAGGGACGTGAGGGACCTTGCTCGATTGGGCAGAGATGTAGTCGTTGAGATCCTTTTCATTATCGATCGATAGCACAGCGTTCCGAAGACTGCGAACAGAACTGATATCGGTGCCAGGTCCTGGGATTGGGCTCACGCTCAAACCATTACTCAAGAGAAGCTTCTCGCTGAGGAGAGCTAGTTGAAGAAGAATTCAAGTCAGTGACAAATTCACATTGAATGTAGAGTTGTGACTCACCATATTGCTGAAGCTGCAATGACAAGCCAGCGTCAATGTCTTTGATGAGATCCTGAAGGGCCCTGACAGCTTCGGGGCGAGTAGAAGTTTCGAGGTGATGTTTCTCAGTCTGCAACGTCTGCACATGGCTCTTGTAAGTCTGATCGGCATTCTGGACCTTCCTCAGCAGATCTTCCTCTTGCTGAGCAGCAGACTTGTTCTTGAAGGCGTTGAAGACCTTGCCAGTCTGCTTCTCTCCCGTCTTAATCTTGTCGTATTCATCTGAGAGAGAGTCGTACTTGGCCTTGCTCTTGCGCATGGTCTGCTCAAGCTCGGCCACCTTGTGCTCCGCACTGAGGCCAGTAGTCTTCCATGTCTTGCGACTTTGTTCGGAGCTGTTGACAAGCTCGACGAGCTCATCGTGCATCTTCAGCAAGGACGAAGCAAATTGGGAACCATTCTCGGACATGCGCTCGTGGATTTGGACCATGTCGTCGTATGCGGAAGAGAAGCTGCCTTGGCGGTGGTCTGGCTGGCGGAGGCTATGTTGAGTGGCTCGGCTCACTTTCTTCAGGCCCTGCGCATTACTCTCCTCAAGAGATGCTCGCTTTTTGAGGAAGGAAGCGAATTCCTATTGCTCCCAGGTTAGCGTGTGGTACCGGAATAGGCGAGTAGGAAAAGAAGCGACTTACCTTAGAAGTAGCTATGCTAGCTTTCAGACGATTGAGTAGGGTTGTAATGCCGATCTAGAGACAGGTTAGGAGATGGGACCAGTTTTGAGCAGACAGGTATGAGGTGGTATAGCTCGTGTTACCTCAGAGGAGAGAACGTCGTTGACTTGCTTCAGGACCTCTGGACTGGGGCCTTGGGAGGGATTTGTCGCGACCTCGGGCGCAATAGCTGGGCTGTTGGTCGCTGCTCGGTCAAGAGGGAAACTATTCTGATGAAACCCATCTCGGTCATGTCCATCGACCGGCGAGGTGAGGACGTCGGCCATTTTGACGGGGTGCAAGTGCTGAGCAAGGCTGGTGGTGTGGTGTAGGTCGGACAGGGTATGGTTGTTATTTTGGATAGAGCTTTCAGTTGTCGTCGTCACACGATCTCGGCATTCCTTGAAGGCGAGCAGGAGCGTCAATTGCACATGTGCGGTGGTCGAGAGGAGCTTGGCGGGTGCTTCGCTTTACTTGGGCTGCAAGGAATGGGCAGATGGAAAGTCAGGTAACCCCCCTTCGGAGATTGCGCTAGTGAGTGACTGCCCACGATCGTCGTCGAGGTGCGCAGAGGAGTTTACTAAGGAGCCGCGACAGCCTGCTGGACTCGGACGGCGTGGAATGTGTGTGTGCGTTTGCGACCAAGGAGCTAAGCTGGGGAAACGAGTCGGCAGGCTTGATTGTTGTGGGAAGATGTTGGCGTCTGCTTTGCAGCACCTTGGTGGAAGTGCCAACCTCAAGCCACCGACCTCGTCATGCAGCAAGGATCAGGGTCTATTTGCGGAGCTGGTGGCATGGATGGCAGTAATAGCTGGCGCGCTGTGGCGACATGGCCAGTGGCTGTGCATTACGTAGCACCACATCATCCAAGTGGGCATCCGACGACGACACTGCGGAGGCCCGGGGTTTCATCCAGGCCGGCATCAGCGCCAACCACCGGACATCTTTCTCTAAATCACCCTCACCCAGGTGATGGTGTCTAATAACCCTGGTACGTTCACAGCATGGCCAGATATATGATTCATGTGAATTTATTCTTTCGAGGTGCAGAGTCCACGCTTGCTGCCTCTCAACTATGCTAAGTGGTGTTGCCTCCACACGCCAGTTCCTGTATATCTGCTGAGTTCTCGCTAGTTGCCCCGACATTAAAATAGAATCAAATAAAATAAATCGCCTCCGCGTCTACCCAACATTGATGCTGACCAGAAGCAGGCAAACGACAAGGGAAAGTCCTAAGAAGAAACAGAAATCAATGAGATAGACTCAATTGCTTTCCAGTCCATTATCATATTTCAAATGATGAATTCGCAGCCATGTCAAAGGGGATAATGATATATGCCACTTCTCCAGAACTCCGGAATGTATCCCCTCAGGGTATCTCGACTCTGTACAAGCCCATAGAAAATAGGAATAATAAGGGGCAATAGAGAAAAAAAGAATTCATATGATGTACATGCGCTAGACAAAAGGAAGACTTCTTGCAGCTTCGAAGAGCCTGGATAAGAAAGGGTATGAGATAATGAGACTGGAATCCAAAAAATTAGAGACATGGGACTGTATATTACTTAAATCCAAAGGTGAGAAACCATCATCGAATTATCCAAAATCGAAATGCCGGATACTGAGCCAGGGGTATCGTGGTCGTAAATTGCTCGCCATTAAGCATTCTCGGAATCGACAGCCGTTTCGTCTTTAACTTCTACCTCATCATCTGGCCAGGTTGGGACGGGAATCTGGGCGTATCTCAAACCATCCGTCTTCTCGGTCTCTTTGCAGAGAACTTCCACCGAGAGCTCCCAGCGTTTTCGCAATCTCTCCTGCCGCGACTTGCCTAAATTGTCGACTTCGTCTAGCTCTAAAGCGTGCTGGGAAATTAGGCTTTCTAGTTCCTCTTGTCGTTTCGCCGTATGGGTTTCCAACTCCACCTCCTGCCTATCAAGCAGCTCCTCCATCCGCTTTGCTTGGCGGTCTCTCATGACGTTGATCTTCGATTGATGCAATCGTTCCATGTTATCTCGGAGATTGTATTGCTGGCCCAGTTCTCGTAAATCGCGCTCTGTGATTGTTCTCTGTGGCATATCGGTGCTGGGGCTCCGCCCCAACCCTTCGCAGTAAGCTTCCATATGCTTTAGTCGAATCTTAACGCTCCGTTCGCTTTGTTCTAGCGTATTTCGCAATTCCATCTCCGCTGCCACTTGTCGATCCTCCAAATGGCCGGCCGTTTTCGTGTGCCGCTCCTTCATCTTTTCCCCTAATTCGTCATACTTCTCCTCCAGCGCTTTTTTCTGTGAAACCTGGCGTTCCTTCAACGCAATCCTCCCCTGTGCAGCAAACACCTGGAACCGCCGTATTTCATCCTCTTGAGATTTGATGAGTTGCTGGAATGCCTCGTGATTACTCGAACGCTCCTCTGCCTCCTTTTGCTGAACGGCCTCCTCAGCCGCAGCGGCGACTTGCGCGGCCTTCTCGACCTCGAGTTTAGCAAGGCGCTCCTGTTCCTCGATGCGTCGCCTCTCGAGTTCTTCCTCCCCATTGCAAACATTCGGGCAACCTACCGAGGGATTCCAGACGCCCCCACAGATGTAGCAGAACTGTGCCTTGCACCTGCAGGTCATATGGGTGCATCCCTGGGCCAGTTCGACAAGATTCCGGCACTTGTAACACCTCCGCCACCCCGACTTCTCGCCCATTTTTAAAACAGCCTCCAGCTCCCAGTCCTCTGGGCAGTCCTTCCCGACTGGGTGGGCGTTGCGCTTGCAGGTTACGCAAGCCCTTGTGTCACATTTCCGGCATGTGACATTAAATGGATGTTTCGGATCGATCTTGTGTCGAGGTGGTATAAACTCACCGCAATCCGCGTTTGGACAGAATATCCTTGCCTCCCAAGGCGTGCTGAACTGAACGACAGCCTTCAGGAAGACTTGCTGGGTTTCCCGCGGCAAAACAGCCTTCACGATATTGGTAGGTATGGGCTGCGTGCAGCACCTTGGGGGCATCTTGGATTCCTCGGTAGTAGATTGGCTGATCATGACTCGTAGGCAGCTGGCGCAATACGTATGGCCACACGGAAGACTATGCAAAGTACTTGACTTCTGGAAATCGTCCCGACAGCAGACACAGGATCTGGAGGTGTTAGTGACAAGGCCATGCAAGACAGTGCTTCATAAGATCAAGGCTACATACAGGTTAGGTGGAAAGGGCTGAATTGACTTTCTCCGCCATCGAATCTTGCCCTTGAGCCCCGATTTTACACTGAACAGACTCTTTCTGGTGCTTACACTGAAGAGGCTCTTGGCAGTGCTGTCGGTAGGCGACTCAACTTTGCAGAATTTGGGCTGGTCGAGATTCTTGTCCACCTGCGTCAGGTACTTGTCATAGGGCTGGAAGCTGAGGGTCTTGGACTGTCCCTTCTCCTTCCCACCGAGCGAAGTCGACTCTGAACTGGGAGGGGCGAATATGGACGAGTATATGGTGAGATCAGTGCTCGCAGAATCGTGAGAACCCGTCGAGAAGGTCCGAGCGTGGTAAGTCGCGGCCGTCGAGGCAGACTGGGCGCTGATTGTATAGCGCTTGTCGTCGGTGTCGTCAATGGCTGGGGAAATCGAGATGCCGAGCTGCTGAGCCCGGGAGACCAATTCGTCGTCGATGTGAACCTCGAGCTTTCCCAAGGGCAACCTCAAGACCTCATTGAAGTAGGCGGCGTCGCTTAACCCGTCGATTAACGTCGGCTCGAGCTCCTCAGTCTGAAGCTTGGGCGGAGCGATGGACACCATGCTGGGCGCCGCAAGGGGTGGTCAGTCGGGAGGTTAAGAGTCCCAGAAACGAGAAGAATGCAGCGTATCGGGGATTAGGCCGGAAGCATGGTCAAGTTATTCCAAGAGGTCGAATTGTACAAAAACAGATGGAAGGGCGCGAGACAGCTGGCGGGATCTGAGACACGAAATCCCAGATGTCTACCGCTGGGAGAGGTGCAAATGCGCAATCGTCCTTGTCCTCCCCCTCGCCGATCCCACCACTTCGCTCTTTCCCAGATCAGATGCCGTCCGCACGCTCGCGACAGGGATTGCGGCCGAGTCCGGTCGAGTCAAAACAATAGGTACGTAGGTTCAGCACGAAGCAGGCGATGAGGATTGCGGGAGCCGGGCCGGCAGCGGCTGGGTTAGTCAATATAACAGGACGGGAGCCGTTGTCAACGCCCTGCCTGGAGGAGAATCAAGCTCTGGCAGACGAGGGCGGGATGGCGTTTGGCTAAGATGGGCGGGCGATAGTAGGCTCTATACTAGTACGCAGATCTAAATGGGCCGTTCCCCCTGCCTGGTGTCCGGTTGTGGGCAATGACAACAACTATTAGTGCCCATGATCAAGTGGGTGAAACTGCCGGCTGGGAATAACGTAGCCAAGGCAAGGCAAGGCACCTTCATACGTAGCAGGTCACATTAGTAGTAGTATAGTAACTTGCTGGCCCAAGAGCCCCAGCGGGATCCGCCACAGAAATTGTCGTGCTCCGTTTATGAGCAGGGGGGATTTGGGTCATAGATCAGGCGATGCGGTGGCACCCTGTCGAAAGCGGGCGCCTCCAATCATCAGGCGACTCGACAGGTGCCAGCTACGTAGTGGGTGTACCCTCATTACCCATCCCAAGCCAGAGAAAAAGAAAGGAAAGGCGTCGGTCAGTGGCGGCTGAGGCTGCTGCCCGCCGGTTCCTCACCTTACCCTTTGGGCGGGCGAGCATCTGTCCACCGCCAACCCGCCGACCAGGACATATGCATGCACCGTCCCTTATTACTATCTGCCCGTCTGTCAACTGCTGCATCGGTACATCATGTACATGCTCTGCACCTGCAGGCTCAGGGATCAGAGACAGGAACGCAGTTTTGAGCCAAGCTGCCGCTGGCAGATTGTCGTGCTAGCCTTAGGGGGGCTTTTAGGGCCCTCTTTGGGGTGCCACATCGGCGCCAACCACTCATTAGGGGCTTGCTAAAATAACCCAAGGTGATCCGATCCATCCACATTCATCTGATCCCTTTGCCCGCCTAAGCTTTGACACATCTCCTTGTACAACTGACAGGGCGCGCACGGTTTTCGCAGGTGCACCATATGTACTATAGTAGCGCCTTGCCATCTCACCGCGTTGTGTTGTTGTGTCGTATCGTGTCGGCGGGCGAACTCCCGTGCCGCAAATCCCGATGGCGGCAGGAATCGAGATAGAGCCACGGAATAGCCAGCCAGCTTCTGCCCCCATATGTATGCAATAGACAATCAGACATAACCTTTGTTCCTACCGTTCCCCACTGCTTAACCCGTGTGGGAGAACCCTGCGCAAAGCCGATGTCATACTATAGCCTTGCCGGGGGAACCGGCAAACCATTATTGCTGAGCCCCTCGTTTGTCACTTGAGTCAGTAATAACGAGCGTAAATATGAGTTGTTGTTGTATCTCCTATCCGGCGTTCCGATGCCGATCAGGGGTCCCTCCGTGCGAGCTCCGATGAACCTGCTGGCCTCCATTCTTCACACAGGAGGGTTAATAATAATAATAATAAACCATACCCCTCTCACTCCCTCCTTCAATTCCAAGGCAAGACAAATATCGCGGAGTCGGTCTCGAGGAACAGGGATGATGAGGGCGGTCTGAAGTGCTACCGCCTCCCTGGCTGTCCGTCCAGCTGAACAGTCAGCCTTCCTTTACGAGCACAAGGTGTCTGTATTGCACCGCCCCTCCGTTCCCAGTTCGCAAGCAGCGCGGTCTATCCCTTTCCTTGTTGGTGGTGGTGGCAAGGACAGCCTTATTCCTAGTCCTGAAACCTGCATCGAATTACGCATGCAAATGCGGTCTGCACATGTACTATGAGGCAAGCGGCGTTGGAATTCTCCTTCTCGGCGGCCGCCTTTCTTTGCCCTTGGCAAATCTTCGAGTCCCTCAATATCGGCATGCTTTCTTTTTGCAACATTGATCGGTGCTTTTCCATCTCGTCATTTTCTTTCCTTTTGCTTTTCCTTTTTTGCTTTTCTTTCCTTCTTTCTTGGTTCTCATTCCCCGGGACCGATCATCTTCTTTTCTTTTGCCCTCTTCCGCTTCAAGACTGCGGATCTGGCTGAGCTTGGGCTCCGACTCTAGAACATGCTCCACTCAGCCAAGAGTGATTATGCACGGCTCTGGAGATCTCCGAGCCTTTCCCAATGTGAGTTTGATACAAACATGTAGCTTCAGGAGCCTGCTTTCATATCTGGCCAACACCTACAAACAGGGTGGTCCGCAGTCGCTTTCACTGCAAGGTCGGTAATACACAAGGGCATGAACTATCATTTTACCAACCAGTCGGTTCATTGATGGTCTCATTCCTGCCCTGTCTGCATGTACAATGAGCCGCGAGGCAAAATGATTCAACTCAATTGATGGACACTCTCTGGATGGCACTTTTGTGTAGCCTGCATTTGACATGGCTTGTTTGTTGACCAACAGCTCTACACAATTTCGACAAAGAAACTTATTTCGCGAACAAAGGATCGCCGCGTCCCACATTCGGAGGGCGGGAAGAGGCGAAAGGCGGTCGTCGGGTCTTCCACGCGAACAAAGTTCATCTTCGAACCATAACTTGTTTAAGGTTGATTATTGTATAGGTAGGTACTATCGTAGTGTAATTCTATCAATGGATACTTTTTAGTCTCCTCGTCCTTCCTCACCAGCAATCTCAATCCATCTATGCCTCATAGGATAGGACGTGAAATGCGCGCACGCCCTATTTCTCAATCACTGACTGTTATTATACGAGAAACCGCCCAGAACACCAGCCCTCCATCATCCTCAAATAATCACCGAGGGTTTATTATCCGAGGCGCTCTCTACTTGGCCTACCTAAGCCTAGCCTAGAGATTAGATCTCCACAGCCAATCGATTAGCCTTTTGTGGCCTCCTCCTCCACAGCCTCCAGTCCACTTATCACTCGTGCCTCCACCAGCGACTTCCATTCAACGACATCTCCGTCGTACCAACCAGCCCTGTAGCACCGACTGGTCCACCTCGTTCTCGATTACAGATTTGGCCTCGGAGAATGTTTGGATCTGGGCCGCTCTAGGGTCAACCTCGCTTTCAGAAAACTTATCCTCTCGACCAACATCTTCTGTGTCTCAACAGGGCAGTGCTTCCCTCTGTTCCTCCGGGTGGCTTTACCGTGGCGCGTGCCTACGAGTAAGTCGACTTCGGGAGTCTTTCTCCTCGAATCCGACGCATACAACGGCAACTCTCTCTCGGGTATTCCTGTCGATACCATTTTGTTTTAATCTCTCAACATGGCCGAGCTCGTTGACCCGACCCAGAAGGGTAATTATCCTGTTATCCTTGGGGATAGCCTCCTCGGCAAGAACTCCAATGAGATATTCACTGGTATCAGATGTAAGATGCTCTCCAAAACATCCTCACTTGTGAGCTACCACGCGCTGACTCCCTATCTTACAAGATAACCACAAACCGCCCATTGCGATAGCCGAGAAGAACCCAGCCCGACTGAAGCCCTCAGTTTCCGGCGACAAGAGCTCCTACGATCTGAACTTCGTCGATAAGGTTGGCCATACCGAATACGCATATGCTGGCGCGCGAAACACCGACGATGGACAGTACGTTCTCTATTTCGACCCAGCGCGCGAAGCGTTCATCCTGGACCGCATCGACTCGACCCTCAACATGAACATCACCCGGACGCCAAACAACAGCGACCCCGCCAGTCTACGGCGGCAGTATAATCAGCTCGACAGCAACGGCAAGACGGCCCAGTCCTCTGGCGCCTCCGAATCCAGCAAGCCGCAGCAGACCAAAGCACCCAAAGCCAAAAAGAAAGATCCGCCTGCTCGCAAGTCCGAGCCCAAGGCGAAGCCAAAGACGGCGCCGGCGCCAGCTCCCAAGCCAAAAAGCCAGGGACTCGTCCTTCCCCAGGCCCAGCAAGTACCACCCAAGCCCAAGTCGCGGTCGCGGACGCTTGAGGAGGAGGAGGAAGAGGACGATGATGATGACGACGGAGGCTTGCTGATGGAGTACCCCGGAGGCGAACCCAGGTCTCAGAAGAGGGACTTCTCGCCCGCCTTCCCAGCTGTACGGCGGTTTGACGATTTCATGGACCAGCGGGAATCAGAGGCCGACGATGCCGATGGGGAAAGTGAAGACGAGGGCGATGTGGACTTCAAGCTGCCGAACTCAGTTAATCATCAAGACACGTACGGTGGCCAAATGGAGGAGGAGGAAGAGTCGGAGCCAGAAATGGAGGAAGTGGAACCACAGGCGCCCGAGTACGAGCAGGAAGATAACATCGATATTGAAGATGACTTGGAGAAAGATCTGGAAATGGCCTTTGAAGAGGTCAATGTTGAGGATAAGGGCGAAGAGAGCGAGATCAGCGAGGAAGATTAAAAGGCACATGAGATCTGACATTTGGGAGCAGGTACTTGAGAGAATTGGGTATTATCTTTTCTGGGTTACAATTATGGGAAAGCAGGTTTTGAGCACGTTAATCTTTTACCAAGGCGCCTCGGAGTTGCAGTTGCCTAGGTATCACTAGCAACTTGGTATCATTCAAATACAATACGTCGAATGTACAATGTCCCCCGTTTCTCTCACCTACATCAGCTCTGCACCCTCGCCCTAATTGTCATACTCCAATTTCTCTCCTGGGAGGTTGTCAGTTATACCTGGGATCTCCTCGGCACAGTAGTAGTGCACATTCAACTCCGCCAGCAACGACCCGTATTTGAGCAAGTCCTCCTTGTCGACTGTGCCGATGGCGAGAGCTAGGTAATTATCCTTCTCGGGGTGCCAGTACAACCAACTGCCGCACTCGCCGCAGAAGGCCCGCGCGATCCCGGGCGTGGCGTAGTACTTCTTCAGCGTCTTCTGGGCCGTGAAGGTGATGTTCTCCGGCTCTATCCTGCGGAGGTGAGTAATGACGGCCCCGGCGTTCTTGCGGCATTGCACACATTGGCATGTAGAGCACTGTTGTGTGTGTTGGCGATTACCTCACTTCGTTAGCGACTGCTCCAGGGGCCCCATTATGAATGATTGAGGGGGGGGGGAATCATACGCCCTTGGAGAAGTCAAAATCCGGTGCGAAATTGACTTGGTACCGGATGCCTTCGCACAGGCAGCCGCCTTGGATTGTTTGCGGCGCTGTCTTTGTCGACGACATTGTGGCTCGTACGGTTCAAGCAGCGTTGCGATGTTGGTGAGGATATATGATGATGGTCTTATTTTAAACGAAGAAGAAAAATAGTAGAAGCATACGCATAAATGAATATTTGAATCAGGATCGAGAGACTCCGGGGCTACATAGATATATCTTCCGAAGGAGGGGTCATGTCAACGACGCCTTTCCTGGAAACTTAGACCCCAGATAAGATCTGCGTCTATGATTGTTCACTCCAGACAGTGATAGCCGTCAGTGAAATCGCCAAGACCACTTCATTGTATGTAGGTCCAAAACACGGCTGGCCATCGTACATGCATCGGAAGAAGTTGATCGTATGGCTCTTAAGGGCCGACAAACCCCCGCCCTCCACTTGTGATTGCACGAGATACGATTGCTATTGTGGTATTAAAAAACTTATACTATATTTTTCTCACATTGCCATCAAGATGTGATAGGCATTCTATTTAGATAATCTCCCACCGAGCAATTCGGCCTACACTTTCCCCCGCGTTCCTCACAATGCAGAGAGCACCCTGGGTGCGGTCCTCCCGCATATCATCCAAGACCTTTGATACAGCGATACCACCCACAGCTATCCCCCGACCTTCGCTCAACGAGAATGATCCGCTTGTCACAAAACCAATCAAGTCTTGCGCATCTGGAACTAATGGGTGACCGTTGATATCAGCGACATTAGCCTTGGCAGATGGCCAAGGTATTGGGGGAGCAGTGAGCTCTTGGGCTAGCAGTCGCTTGCGCGTGTGGGGATCTGTCGATTTTGCTATTCTCGCAGATCCATTCTTACCAGGACGCGACCTGGCGGTATCTGTGAATTGTGGTACTAATCGCAGCCACTGGTCTCGAAGGGCTGAAGGTAAAGCAGAAGAAGAAGAAGGAAGTGGAGATGGGTCTGTGGCTGGGACCTCGGCGTTGGGAGAAGGAGGGGTGAGTATAGGCTTTCTAGGAAGTCGGTAGATTCTTGCACAAGATCTGGCAACACCCCTTGTGAGAAAGCATAGCCGTACAGTCAGGACACTACTCCCAGGAGCTGAGTCCAATTGTTGAGATTTGACAAGTTGGGAGAACGTTGACTTGTCAATAGGGGTGAGCTGAGACAGGGGGTTTGATTCTAGCTCCCCTGTGGCTTTGGTGGCACTTTCGACATCGATGTCCATAGCATCTGATGTCTCTGAGTCTGGTTCTCCGAGACGCCGGTGCAAACTAAAGAGGTATTCAAAATCGCAGGCCATACCATTCCCAACTTCGCCCTTTCTCCCCGCACCAAGCTCTAGCGAGTCCCACTCCGTTCTTTTGCTCTTGGGTCGTTTCTCCCACGCTTTCTTTCTCAGTTGCCGCTGCTCTAGCTCCCATGTCACGCCAGCGTTTGTGGTAAGAAAGTCGGAAGGGAAGAAAGGTAGTCCGCGCTCAAACGCGACTTGTTTAGCCTCGTTTAGACCAGCAAAACGAGGGTTCCCTCCAGAAGAGAGAGGGTAGTGAACCAGCGAGTACCAGAATGGTAGGATGCAGCCCCAAGGTGCAAGAAGAGTCCAGGTGCCTTGAGCCTGCCTGCTTGGTCCCGAGCGACCAGAAATGAGCAGGATAGGAATCGAAGGGTCGGACTCCACAGGCTTCAGAACTGCCCCAGGGGCAGTAGAACTTCTCCGTTTCTGAAGAAGCTTTTGCGGAGGTAAGCATGATGCTTTGTGGCGTTGATCTCGGTCAAAGATGTCGTAGGGCTGGACGTTATCCTCAGCAGGCCAGGAGGCGAGAAGCTCTAACATTTTTATCTCCTCTTCCTCCCTCTCTTCCTCGCTGTTTGCCGATTTCGCTTTCTTGGGGGGGTATCTCAGACGAGGATCCTGCACATTGAATCCCAGAATAGCTTGGGCTGGTAAAGATGCTGGGTTAGTCACACCATGCAATCCTTGAAAAAGTTCCGCATGTTTCATCTTCGGTTCTTCTCTTTTATGTCTTGGGGTCAAGATAGACATAAGAGTTTCCGTCGAGGCAGGTCCGGTGATCTCAACACTGCCAACCTCGTATCGCAAATCGTGAACTGAAAGCTGAGGTGTTTCCATTTTGGCGAGGCGGAGCAATTCCGTGAAGGTTTCCAGAAAGGCTGAAGGGTGTATTCTCAGGATCAATTCTCTTTTATGCTCTTTCGACTCTTCGGATGTATGCGACTTTTCAGCGGGATTCCAAATAACCGTTGCTGGACAGATGCATCGTCTGCCACTTTTCGTCTCCCTGCTTAGCTGGCCAGACCATGACCGAGTGCCTATCCTCCATTTCTGGCCTCTGTCACTCCAGCAGCTTTCATGTGACACTCCCATCCGCTCCATTGTTCTTTGAAGGCCCTTCGTGTTACCAGAAAGACTTATCGTGCTGATATATGACATATCCCAGAACACAGCCCCCCTATCGCCCTGCATCCGATGTACAGGCCTATAGATCTTTTCGTTTGGTGTTAATGGCAGCGCGAATCGCCATAGGGGATTTTTAGGCTCCGTCATCCTAGCACGCTTTGCATGCCAAGCATGTGTAGGGAGCCACGTCTTATTCAATTGCCGTTTTCTGAATTTCGAAGGTGGTTTCGGAGGATCATTGAGGAGGTTCGTTCGAAGCTTCGGTCTACGCCGAGTTCCCTCTGCCTTATCCACTCCTGTAGATGTCTCTCCAGAATTGCTTGCATGCTGCTCCCCCGACCTTTTTCTTTTCTGCCTGGCAGCCAGGATGCCAAGCTTCTTCGCTGTCTCTGCTCGGATGCGTGCTCTCGTCGTTCTCGGAGCTCTTCTGCGGGATTCGACTGTCGGGGTATTATCTTCAGCCATCTCTTTCATCGCCCTGGCCCTCAATCGCTTCGGGACACGCTTGGGGTTATGGCTGGCGGTGCGACGCCGCAAGCCGCGAGGTAGCTTCTGAAACGCGCGACTGGTGCCAATTACCTTGGACATGGCCATGCTTTGCTCCAGTGCACGAATCTCAAATTCGTGAGCGGCCACGAAGGCCTGCAAATCAAGCTCGCCATCTTTCAACCCAGCTTCGGCTGGCTGTGCGGGAATGGACCGTGCGACATGGCGCTCTTGACGCTTCTGCTGGAATCGGTCGCTGCGCGCAGAGAGTGCCTCGGAGCCTGCTTTGCGTTTCTTGGGATCACGGGCAGAGCCCGGTGTGCCATTCTGCGGAGCCATCAGGCTCGCTTGAATGTTGGTAGCAAACCTGCTAATTGACCGTGTTCGTGACAGACCTCTCTGCACAACATGTGCGACTCAATTGTTGATGGCCCAGGCAGGCAAGTATTATTTTGGGAATTCAGCATTATCGATAAGCTTGCAGCCCACTTACCGAATCAGTGGTGCCACCTTCCATGCAGGTGAGCTACCCTGAAGCATCAAGCATGTGCCAGTTCGATGCGAATGAGAGCCTCCATCTTAATAATCATGGTGCTCATTGATGCTGGTACTAATTAACAACTCTTTGGGTAGGTAACAAACGTGTGTGTTTTTCTCAGAAGAGACCGAGACCGAGACCGACAAAGCCTTGACCTGGTGTTGGTGTCTGGCTCGCTTGGGGACAGCCAGGTCTGTCGATCTCGATTTGGGACACGGCGACGGCTTTCAGTAAACTCCCCGTCAACAGAGGCTAAGCCCCCTCGCTCACCAACAACGTTACATGCAATATTTGCATCATCGATCATCGATCATATCGATAAACGGGGCCTCACCTGAGAACGAGAGCTATTGGTCGGTAGCTAATCGCCTGGTCTCCCACACACCGGCTTTGCGCTGCCCGACTTCAGCCGCCTTATCCGGCAACGTGAAGTGGTGCCTCGATCCTGATTAGCCCTATTCAGCCATGGACTCTCTAAGTAAGTGCTTTGATGATTACCTGATGAGCCCTCTCTCTTGCTTGTCTTACTGCTTGGCCTGCCCTCAAGGTTGTTGTTCGTTTTTTGCTTGTCTGGTTGCTTAAAGCTTACGGCATGGCAACAACCCCCCACCACCCTTTCGTGCGCTTCGTGCCCTCCATCTCTCGAGACTGTTTTCTGAATACTGGCTTTACTTACCCTCCAATCCGCAACCCCACCTCCCGTAATGACTTCTTCTCTGGCTAACCTACGTGACCTGCGCTCAGTAGGAAAGGCTCGCAAGGTAATGAGCTCCTCTTCTCTTGGGTCCTTTCCCTTCTCTGTGTTCTGGAGAATGCAGCACTGTCCTTGGACCAATGACTGATTTCATTCCTATAGCCCAAGTTTGAGCTACATCTAAAGGTATTGCCACATACCAACCTGTTCACAGCGATCAGCGTTGCTGATCCCTATTATACAGATTTATGATCTGAACAATGTCCCCTTAGTATCGGGGAACTCGTATATAAAATGGCATCTCACCCATTCCATCCACGCCGAACACCGTGGCCGCACAGACAAGTGCCCCATAACGAATCACCGCGTGGACTATGCCCTGAACAAGGTCGTGTCACACATCCGTATTTCCGTGGACAAAAGCAACACGCTCGCGGAATGTCCCATTGAGTTTGAGGTTGTGCAGGAGTTCGCCATCACAGAAAAGATTACACTGGGAACAGTGAAGCTAAATCTAAGCGAATATGTCGAAGAGAGCGAGGTATTGGCCAAGGATTCCGTCACATCCCCTGGCAGAAGACGGGCGAGCAGCGTAGGTGTGAGCCCTGGCATTGTCCCTCCTGGCGTCAAGGGTATCAAGGTTGGTGAGAAGGATAAAGAGGTTCATGATGGCGTTATCCGCCGGTACCTGATGCAGGAGAGTAAGATCAACAGTACTCTCAAAATCGGCATCCTCATGGTCCAGGTGGATGGGGAGCGCAGTTTCCTTGCGCCTCCGTTAAAGAATGCCCCTGCTTTCGGAGGAATTGCTGGGATTGTAGCGGGCGAGCAGGTTGAGGATGATGCAAGTCGTAAGTAGACCATGGCCAAACTTTCCACGAAACGGTAACTCACAGTCTTCCCCAGCCATTCTTAGCATATCCAAACCTAGAGACGCCACAGATCTTCATGACCTCTACCGTCGGACTCTTGCGGCATCCTGGCATCGTCTACCTTCAGAACTTGCTGCAGACGAGTGCATTGAGGATATCTTTGCTGGCGGAAACGGTTGGAAAACGAAAAATGATGGCGGTTCGACAAGCGACACAGAGGAGGATGAGTATGCAGGCGGGACTCTTCGGCCCGCCGATATCCGTCGATTGGATCAATCTCATCTGCACCACCCTCGCGATGGAGGGCACATCCTCCACCGTCTGCATCGACGTACCCATAGCGGATCCAGTGACCAGAGCTCTAGCACTATAACAGGTCGTAACCCGCGTAGGCAATTTCCACTGGGCCGTGACGATGGGAGGGAGGTCGCTTTGGACCTGAGTCGCACGGGAAGTCTAGCGAGCTTGGCTCCTACATTGGATAGCGAGCGAAGCCGGATAGAGATAACCAAACCCACGAGGGAGATTAGCGAGGACGAGGTGAGAGACGATATGATTGCTTGGAGATTACCTGGAGGAGGCTTGGCATTTTAATTGGTCGGGTTGCGGTTCGCAAAGGTAGGGAATGATCTAGGTATATTTAATGTTGAGATGAAGGAACAGAATACCATATTAATAGAGTATCTCCCTCTGGTTGTATCTATGTCCGCTTTTGTGAAACGCAAGAACTTATCTAATCATTCGAGATCAACATCATGCACATAAAGAGTCTAAGGTCTGTCATGTAACAAGAGACAAAACACATATATATCACGTCGGCTCTTGAAATCCCGAACCAACCGCGCAACTAAATGGCCTGTTGCTCTATCTCTAAAACAAAGAAACCTTCTATCCCATCAACGGCCCGGCTCAGTAAACCCAAAAAAAAGCAGTTCGTCTGCCCCTTTCCCCCTCATTTTAGATAATTTTTGTTTTGTTTTTAAATGTGTTAGGATCTAGCTTCAGCGACATCTAAGGGGCTTTCAGGTTTCCCCTGACGCCTCCTTTGCCGCCGACTTCCCGTGCGGTAACAATGACGCTCAGGTCAGCTGCAACATTAATGGTGACCTCGACCTTGCTTCCTGCCTTGACGCCCCTGATGGCGGCCTCGGCGAGGGCGCTGCCAATTTTCCAGATCTTCTCCCGGGTCTCTTCCTCCTCTTCATCGGAATCGAAATCGGAATCATCTTCGTCCTCCTCCTTCTCCTCCTTCTCCTTGGGTTCGGGCTTGGTGACCTTGATGTGGGTACCACCCTCGACAACCTTGATCAGGATATCGCCACCCTCCTTAGGGGCGGGGATGTGCACTGTGCGGCGGGCGGGAACAGCGGTCTCAGCAGCCATAACAGGCGTGAAAGCCTCACCGTCAGGGCCGGCGGTTGTGACACCAATGGCGTTGGAAATGTGCTTGACAGTGGTGACGGCGGGGTGGGTGGACTGCTCAATGTCCTCAGCCTCGTACTCCTGGATCAGAGAGGCCTGCAGAGCGGCACCACGAGCCTGGAGCTCGGAGGGGTTGATAGCAACGGTGCTGGTGGCGGGGGCCAGGATGGCCGTGGTCTCGGGGAAGATACCGCGGAAGTTGTTGGCGATGCGGGGGGTGTGAGAAGTTCCACCGCACATGATAACCTCGTCGACGTCAAGGACGTCAAGGCCGGCCTTCTTGACAACGCCCTCGACGAGGCGGTTGAAACCCTCAAAGACCTTGCGGCCAACCATTTCGTATCGTATCCTGTTGATGGTGACGGAGAAGTCGTATCCGTCTGCCAAGCTCTCCACGCTGAACTGTGCATTGGTTCCCAGGCTCAGGGCCTTCTTGGTAGCCTCGGACTCGGCACGGAGCTTGGCCAGACTCCTGGGGTTGGAGCGAGGGTCAGTCTCGTGCTTCTTGATGAACTCCTTGGCAAAGTATTCGATGAGGGCGTTGTCGAGGTGGACACCGGCAAAGTCATAGTCGTGAGCGGTTGCCAGAACAGTGTACATGCCACCTCGAGAGGCCACAACAGCAACGTCGGAGCGGGTACCACCAAGGTCGGCGACAACGACGATCTTGTCCTTGACCTCAGCCTCGGGGCGGGCATCGTAGGCAAGAACCGCAGCGACGGGGTCAGAGATCAGCTGGAGGACCTCGACCTCGGCCTCCTTGGCGGCGCTGATGAGAGCTTCGCGCTGCTTGTCACTGAAGTTTGTGGGTACAGAGATGACGGCAGATGTGACCTTCTTGCCCAGGTAGTCTGAAGCGGCTCCGAACAGACGGCGCAGGTAGCGAACGGAGATCTCGGGGAGGGAGACAGTCGAAGCATCCTCCTCGCTACCCTTGTCCTTGACGGTGAAAGATACGGTGCCCTCAGCTTCCTGGGGGTGGGCGGCGGCATGGCAGTGTGTGGGGTCGATGGACTTGAAACTGCAAGAGTTGTAGATGTTAATGCCCCATTCTTCTACGTTTATTGACAGAATCCAATAGATGGCTTACTCTTGCCCAAGGAAGTCGCGGAAGTAGGCTACAGTGTTGTCGGGATTGCGAATCAGGAAGGCCTTGGCTTGGGCACCATAGTACTCGTCACCGTCAGCGTATGACAGGACTGTGGGAATTTGACGATCTGGAATATCCTTTAGTCAGAAAAAGGAACTCCCCATGCAACATGCTGAACGGTGGCGCAAATTAACTCACCTCCATCCTCGTTGGCAATAACTTCGGCCTTGTCGTCGACAGTGTAGGCGATGGAACTGTTGCTGTTACCGAAGGTAACACCGATAACCACCCTGTTGCTAGGCTCGGTGCCTGCCTGTTTGTCGCCGTTCTCAGCCATTGGGCTAGTGTGTTTATAATCTGCTCCAAACGAGGAAGGGGTGAGGATTACAGAAGAGACGACGGGTTGAGGGTGGGTGAGATGGATGTGGGAGGGCGCCTGTTTTAGACCCTGTATAACTCGTCGATATTCACCGATTTGGTGGGGTTCACAGTCCAAAAATTTCAAACGCTCCCAGACGCAGCGAACGGCTGATAAGATAATGACCTGCCCCACCAAAGAAAAAAAGTGGAAAGTCAATAGTAGAACAGATCAATGTTGCATTTGTTACATGGTCTTCTGCGATTCAACTCCTCCAAGGCCGAAACCCATCACTGAGGACCAACCCACGAACAAAAAATCCACCCGACTCACCGATCGCGCCGGCGCAATGTCTTCGGGGGGCC